TCCTCCCCATTCACCCATCTTTATTTCTGGTTGATTTTTCAAAAAGAATGTAATTTTGGCCCTTCACACCATCATGTATTTCTAAAAGTAGGCTTTGCAAAACTGCAGGTGAATTGTACCAAGTAGAGACAACTGCATATACTCCCAGAATTGGACTCTCATTGGTCAATTCTATCATTAAGTGATCATGACAGCCAGTAAAAAGACATGTAGTACATCTCCATCTTAAAGCAAATGAGGGAAATATTTTACTAATTCCCAACTTTCAAACTGGCAAACATTTTTAAACAGATAAAACACATAAACAGATTATTCCTTCCCACCTCAGAGTTCATGACACCAAAGGATAAATAAAGCTAATCTTTGCAAGTTGGAAACTTATATTTAGTGTCTTTATTCAGTATGTGTTTTATAACCTGTATTCATGTGACATACTTAATATTGTTCTCACTAGATGTTTCAGTAAGGATAGGCTACATAACGTACTTGATAGCAAACCAAATTTATAAACTGTTTTTAGTAGTCACTTTGTTAATCATGGTCATAATCTTGTATGATGTAGCTAACTAGTTTATTATTTTTATGTGCCACCAAATCTCTTGCACATTTGAAAGACATTCATATAAACAAAGATATAATGTTGAAATCAGAACTTTTTTTCAAAAATGCAGGCCTAATTTAAGTAACTAGAAATAAATTCATCCTGGTTTCAAAAGCTCATGCATGACTGAACCATTGAAGTAACTTTTGGGTTGGTCTCCCTGCCTCAAGTCTCTCCCCACTCTAAGTCATCCTCTGTTAACAAAGTAATCTTCATAAAGCATACTTATCATCATGTCACTTCTCTATTCAAAAATTCCAGTCACTCTTTATTTCCTTCAGGATCAAATATAAAATTCTGTTTAGATTTTAAAGCCCTTTATAATCTGGGCACTTCCTAGATTTTTATACCTTACTCCCCTCCACATACTCTACAATCTAGTCATTACTGCTGCTTTCCCAAGACACTCTGTCTCTTGACTTCATACCTTTTCATTAGCTATCCTTCCATGCTTGGAATTTTCTCTCTCTTCACCTCTGTCTGCTGACTTCCCTGGCTTCCTTCAAATCTCAGCTAAAACCCCACTCTGTGCAAGAAGCCTTGTCCATTCTCCTTAATGTTAGTGTCTTCTACCTAAGATTATCCCTAATTTTTATTCTCCTAAACACCTTGTTTACACTTAGTTCTTGTTGTTGTTTGCATTTTGTCATTCCATTTGGATTTTGAGCTTCTTAATGGCAGAGATATTTTTTTTTTTAATACTCTATTCTTAGCACAAATTCTGACACATAGTAGGCCCTTAATAAATGCTTGTTGACTCAACTTGGGCTTTCCAAATTCTGGAATTTACAAAAACAATGTCATCAACAATAGCAAAAAGAAACAAAAGAGTTAAAGATTCTCATTGGCTCAGTATTCTAAATTGTAATTATTGAAAAATGTGTGATTAGTTAAAAATTTAGGCATGTAGGCTAGTGCCTTATTTTTGCACAAAAAGAATAAAAACATAATTTTTTAAAAGTCCAAGAATTACTATTTGACAAGATATATATATATATATATATATATATATATATATATATATATATAGGGGGGTGTGGGTGTGTGTGGGTGTGTGTGTGCAAGGGTGTGCACACTTTCAACTCAAAGAAAATATGAATGAATGTCTTTTTGTCTTGGGCAGTACAATTTCTAAAATACAAATCAGAATCAAACTAGTGAGTACTTAACTCTGTAGACCAAGCTGCTTTCTTAAGCAATGAAATTCAAGTTCAGTTTGTACTCTAAAGTAAATCTTGAATCTCCTTTTTGAGCCTCTGTTGGCATCTTTTTTTTTTCATGCACCATCTGAGCTGACTCAGAAATCATCAACAAAACATCACCACTTCTAACAAAATTGTCTGGACACCACATATCTCTACGTCCATCATCTGTACAACTTTTTTTGGGGGGCGTGGTAGAAAGGGAATGATGTCAAATATCAACACAGTCAGATGGTGTTATTGGAGCTACCAGCTGCACTATGATAATAGATACAACAGGTACTCCCACAGAGCACATTTTTACCAAGAGATTTTTTTGTTAATATTATGTTCCTTGTGATTTTTAAATCTCTATTCAGAACAACAATTCATGTTGTTCTGAAATGACTGGCTTACTCTATGTCTAATGTAAAGGAGCTGTTGAATTATTGTGGTTTTGTAGCTATTGACAAAATTTAAAGTTAAGGATGATTCTTTCAACTTTTTTCAGTTTTCCAAGAATAGCCTGAAAGGTATTTGAGATGCTTCTTACTCATGACAGGGCTTCTTCTCTCAGCAATGGAACCAAGTGAAATTAAGGAATGAAAAAACATGACCCAATTCTACTCCAGAAATGAATGGATGTAACCACCCAGGTCACATTACATATATACGGTTTCTTAGAATAAGATTATTCACTTTCAGGTGTAAGGCAGGAATAATGCTAATTGTCTTCACTGAAAATTCCTTCTGATGCTAAACAGAATGTGAAGATAACCTTAGATTATTGGAGAAAAGTTAACCTTGTGGTCAAGTACACATGTTCTAAGTGACTAGATTAGCTAGTCATTGCTACATAGCTATATTGTTACATCTCTACCCTGGGTACTTTTTGTCTCTCTATTTAACCAGCCTACTGTTTTAAGCTGCTGTAAGATGGTAAAATCCTCCCACGTGTTTTGCATGAATGATCCTCATTTCATTTGCTAATCTTTAACATACTATTAAGCATTCTCTTCTGAGGCAGCAATACATATAAATTTTAGCTTTAAATAAATTTTAAGATACTGAGTGTTGGGAGCAGCAAAGACAACAGCAATATCAAAATCGAATTTCATTTGAATTTGGGGCAAACCATGAAACACATTTGTTTTGCCATTTCTTGATTTGTTTGGGTTAAAATGGCCTTGGTTTTGACAGAAAGGGAATGTCAACATTTGTACGGTATCTTCAGAACCTACTGAAGATTTTGACTAAGTTCCTACTCTATTACCATATTTCTCAAGAGCCTTTGGCAAATTGAATCCAGTTTGTAAAAACTCATCAGTTCTGCACTGAGCTTTTGCCAGTCCCACGTCTTCAAATTAATCACACACTAAAGTAAACTTTGCTCAGTGTTTGAACTGGCAATACTCATACTCAGTAGTAGTATGGAATATTGCGATTTAAAATCACCGAGTTCAAAGAACTTTTATCTTTGCCTTGATTTTACGCTTAAGTATTCCCATCCTTTATCCACAGTTAAGATTTGCTCAGGAATCCATCCAGAACATCATTTATGGCATGACAGAGAAAATATTTCTCCCAGTCTTCTCTTTATTCATTCAATCTTTCATATGTTGTTCTGGGAACAACCACATAGCAATTGACAGTGGTGGTAACAATGACACCACCATAAATTTCTATACTATTTTTTTCATTTCACAAAGTACTCATATACATATCACATACATATATACATATAATTTCATTTGAACCTCACAAGCATAGACAAGGACAGATATTTGAATCCCACTTTAGAAAGGAGAGAATTGAAGCTCAGCATGGTTTAATGACTTATTTAAGGTCAGATGGCAAGTCAAACATGGCTCTGATAGTCAAATCCAGGTCTTTGATTCCAGATTTAGTTGGTTGTGTTTTGTTTTTCTTCTTAAATAAAACATGCAGACCCTCTGTTCTCCAAATCTGGACAGAGACTGACTTTGAAAGAAAAGAGACTGATTTAGAAAATAGCATGGTCTATTGCAATACATGATGGCTTCATATCTGGAAATCGTCAGAATTTTGTCTTATTTTGTTTTGTTCCAGTTTGTGTGATTTTAGACAGGACCCTTAGCCACAATCTGTGTCAGCTTATCTCCCTCCCCTATATGTAAAATAGGGATTCTGTATTTAAATAATTATTTATGTCATATGTTTTCCATGTTTATTTTTGGTATAGTGTTTAGAGAGCTGCTCTTAGAGCTAGGAATAAATGAGTTTGAATCCAGCTTCTGACATTGGCTGTGTGACTTTGGGTAAGGCACTTAGCCTCTCTCTTGGCATTTTAAGAAACTCCAGAACTGTAAAGAACAGAGCAAGTGCTTTCCTCCATTGGTGGAGGGTGATTTCTCATCTGGGAGTTTCTTACATTAAAGGGTAGTCTTTCTTATATTAATGGTCCAGTCTTTATCCCTATCCTTACTTTTAGCACAATTAAGTAAGACTGCCTACCAATCTGGCAGAATATTCATAGCTGAAATATTTGCTCTCACAGAACCAACAAGCTGCCTCTCTTAGTCCTACATCCCTGGGCAAGTTCACTAGTGTAGGCCTTTGTGCCAAAAAGATTAAGTTGCTATATAAATTCATATTACTTCTATTAGATACCAACCTCCATGAAAGTAGGTAGTTTGAAATTTTGTATTTTCCCTAGCCCTTACTGGATTTTACTTACTCACATTAAGCACTTCATGAATGTGAATTGAATTGAATTTAATGATTGGGAGAAACCCTTCTTATATGGCATGGAATTCTTTCTAGTTCTTTCATCTTCTTTTTGCTGTCACTATCTTTTTTCCATTGTCCCATCCCCATCCCCTGGCCAGAAAAGCAGATTTAGTGGTGAAATTCTCTCTCCTATTCCTAAATAGTGACCATTTTCACACTTCTCAAATTATGGAAAAGGTAATTTCTCTTTCCTTGATCTAAAGGTAAAATAAAATCTCTTCCAACTTGGGAGAGATTATTATGAACCTGAAGGTCCTTTTCAGCTGTAAAATTCAGAATTCTGTATAAAGAAGGATAATAAGGTAGAAGAATTAATGGTTTTAAACTTTTACTTGAGTGAAAAATGATTTTTCAAACTTTTTGTAAATGACGTCTTTCATTTAGGAATATTCATTTAATTATTTATTGTCTCTCTCTCTCCTTTTTTTTTCTGTTTCTCTACTATAAAGCTTCATTCCGACTTAGACAAAGGAGTGGGCAGCGTAAAATACACCCTCTCAGGAGATGGAGCTGGCACAGTTTTTACCATTGATGAAACCACAGGGGATATTCATGCCATAAGAAGCCTTGATCGAGAAGAAAAACCTTTCTATACTCTCCGTGCTCAGGCTGTGGACATACATACCAGGAAGCCCCTGGAGCCTGAATCAGAATTCATCATCAAAGTGCAGGACATTAATGATAATGAGCCAAAGTTCTTGGATGGACCTTATGTTGCTAGTGTCCCAGAAATGTCTCCAGTAGGTGAGTAAGAAAATGAAAATTCTCTTAGCTACTGCTCACTTCTCTTTAACTTGAGTATCCTACATCTCAGATTTAATAGCTAAAATATAAGTTGCAAGACAGAATAATACTGTGCTGAACACACAAATATTTTCATTTATCAGTTTAATTTGTTGTTGTTGTTGTTGTTGTTGAACTAGGGGTCTTCTTCCCCACCCCAGCTATCCTATTTTAAAGATATTATTGGGATATACCCCAATAAACCTTTCTCACTAACCTGTTGGTTACATAATGTTTTTGCATAAATTCATAGAATGAATCCTTTTGTTAAGTTTATGAAGTGGAATGAATAATATCTTTCTGCATATTAAACCAACTGAAGTGATATATGGCCATATGTGTGTGTATGCTTGCATGTCGGTGTTAAAGGTCTTTAAAGTTCTATTTGATGAGCCAGTCCTGGGTAGGACTGCTTGCAAGGACTTTCACAGTTCTTCCTACCACAAAGTAGTGGTTCTAGGTAATTTTTTTTTTCTCTTTGCTTAGGAAAACATAGAAAGTATTGGTGATAGCTACAACTACAAGACAGTAGCTTTTTGTTCAAACTAGAAAAAAAAACAATAGCACAGCAAGTTCACATGCAGATTCTGGGAGAAGAGGAAAAGAAAAGATCCTTTCTTCTTTAATAGGGAACACTTTATAGTATGCTTTGGAGCTAGAAATGACAATTTAGGACATTGGGGGCTTACTGGTTTCTCTCACTATTTAGCATCAAATGCCTTCTAAATAGACAACTTTTGTGGCCTCTCCAGGGACATTATAGTCACCACACAAAAAATGTATATGTCTGCATCAAAATTTACTTGTCTCGAATTGGGTATAATCATTTACCACATCTTTGGTCTCAGATGGGGAATACAGATGCTTGCTTTAAAAATAGATCCTCTCGGGCATATACAGTAGGGGACATGTTGCTTGTAGGTATCTCTGGATTTGGATAAATTGCTGAGTCCAACAATATAAGTATTAGAACTTGGGCAGCAGGTCCGTAAAGAAAGTAGTAGCCTTAACTTTCTTTAGATATACATAATTTACCAATAAACATAGGCAATTACTCTGAAACCTTAGCGATTTCTGTGAAGCAATATGTTAAATGATTTATTCAGGGTCACACAGTCTACACAAATACATACATGTCAGAGACAAGACTTAAACTCAAATTTCCTGACTGACATTGGCTCTTTAGACATCATGCTGCTCCTCCTTCTCTTCCTCCTCCTCCTCCTACATCTCTCTCTCATGCGTACACTCTCTCTCCCTCATGTGTGCATATATATTTATAAATGTACATATAGATAGCATGTTTCTAAAAGTTAGAATAATGCAAATATACATTTTAACCTGTTAACACAAGTTTCTTTCTGGTTCTTATAGACAGGAAGTCATCTTTATATTCCCAAATGATATAGCAATCCCTTATCTAGGACTTGGGTAGTTTCTTCCTTTAAGTCATTGTTTTACACTTGAGAACAACTGACAATTTGTTATATGAAAGAAAACTTAAGTATACTACTTCTCAAATTATCATCTTAGAAGGTAATTTAAAAAAACCCACAACAAATGAAAGCTTAATATATGAAAGGGGATTTGAAGAGATATCTCATCAATTAATTGATGTGGGGGTGGGGTATGTGAAAAAAAAAAGACTTGGAAATCTTTCTTCAGGAATTTTCAATATTATTACTCTCATGGCATATAAATGGCTCAACAGGCTAATTCAGAGACCTGAAAAAATTACTCCCTTGCAATGGAAGAATCTTGGTGATTATGTTGATTTTAAAACTAGATTTTAATCACCTGGGGCTTTTTTTTCAAGTCTTAGCTTCCACTCTGAGTCTCTGAGTGAGGTAACCCTGCTTTAAAAATGGGGAAATCATTATCTGAGCCTGAATCCCTCTACTTATTTCAAAGCTAACTTTTCTGTCCTTGTTCAGTGCATTCACCAGCCACAGCTACTTATTTATCACTTCCTAAGCTATGATTTCAAATGTAAGTGTGAACAATTGCTAAAATTTCCGAACTCTGAAAGTCTTCAGATGACTCTTGCTGCCCTTATAACCATACAATACATTTAATGAAGATTGTGCAGACTATCCCGAGGGCATAGACATCTTCTTGGCTATGGGAGGTGTCACATGGATTTACCTCAAATGTATTAGAAATTGTGTATGTGACCTTATCAGGTATTCAGAGATCATATCATCTTTATGATCTTAGAAAGAGTTTCAGAAGCGTTCACTTAGTTTTAAAACTGCAGGCCTAAAAGCCTAGTGTCTGTTTCAGGCTCTCTCTCTGCCTTTACGTCTCAGTCTCTGTCTCTCTCTGTCTCTCTGTCTCTGTCTGTGTGTCTATCGCTCCTTTTTATTATTCCTAAAACTCTCACATACACTATTTTCAATAGATAGCTCTATTCCTTAATGTACAGCAGCAGCAGTTGGCTGGCATTGTGACCATCTGCAGACGTGTTTTTAAAAGAATTATTTGTGCCTTATAATTTTTTTTGGGGGGGGAAAGACACATGGATAATTTCTCAGAGCAAAAATAAATCTGAAATCTCATTTTAGCAAAATTTAGCAACAAATTTCTGAAATATCATTTTAAAAGATAAATTGATTAATTCAATTCTGTACATATTTCCAGGAGGTCAAACTATTGTCATTAGATATGAAAGCAAAACAAGATATATTGTATTATTAAAATTCATTTACAGGGGCAGCTAGGTGATAGAGCATTGTCCCTAGAGTCAGGAGGACCTAAGTTCAAATCCAGTCTCAGATACTTGACACTTACTAGCTGTGTGACCCTGGGCAAGTCCCTTAACTCCAACTGCCTTTAAAAAAAAAAAGGAAAAAGAAACAAAAATCATTTACAGTAAGGATATTAACTTAAAATCGGTTTGCTAATTAGAAAAAGTACAGTCTGATCACTTAAATTACCCTTGTATTAGGCCAAATGAAAACAGGCAAAATGAAAGCAAAGTGAAAGCAAAAAATTATCTAAAATTAGCCACTATTATAGTAGTAACAAAAGAGAAGAAAAAAGCTGTTTTGTGGTATTTTAATTTAAAAAATATTTAAATGTAAATGATTTCTTTGTTTTAAAAACAAAACAGTGACTTTAGGATTTAGTTCAACTGTATAATTAATTGATAATAAACATTATCAACATATATTATCATCATATAACATTTATCTGGTTTGTATCTGAAGTACAGATCTGGTTATCACACACTCTGCTGTGGTATGGAATTCACTATATAACTATGTCATATTGTACTTCATCCTTGTAGGGTTATAGAAAAATCAGAAGTCATATACTAAAGCACCATTTCACCAAAGCATGTACAACATGGAAGTAAATTTTCAATGTTGTCATATTCCTTATAAGAAGAATTTGAAAGTGGTTCAGTAATCTTGTAAATCACAGGAATAGTTATTTTTTCCTACATAGATGTGACTTGTGGTGTCTAATAGTATAGAATCTTCTAAAAAGTTTCATTTTGTAACTTCTTTTTGCAGTATATTTGATTCAAGGGAACAGTACAAGAATCGGAATATGTGGAGAATATTCCATGAATTAGCAGTCATTATATAAACATTATATATAAATGATGAATAACTATTTTGGCATTGCATAAAATGATTTTTTCTTTAAATGATCAAATAATAGAGGATACAGAGTGCTTACTACTACAAGTTGTGAAACATGAGTTAACTGAATTGTTGAGAGTCCAGCACTGAAGTAGAGCCTCTTTGTTAGTCTTGACTTTCGTTCCAATCTCAGATCCATGTTTCACCGTTGGCAAAAACCTACCTCTTTGGATATCCTCCAAGACAAAAGTTTCCTTGACTAGGATAGATTAATCTATATCTATATCTATATCTCTATCTCTATCTCTATCTCTATCTCTATCTCTATCTCTATCTCTATCTCTATCTCTATCTCTATCTCTATCTCTATCTCTATCTCTATCTCTACCTCTACCTCTACCTCTACCTCTACCTCTATCTCTACCTCTACCTCTACCTCTACCTCTATCTCTATCTCTATCTCTATATCTATATCTATATCTATATCTATATCTATATCCATATCCATCTCTATCTCTATCTCTATCTCTATATCTATCTATATGTGTATATATATGCATATGTGTGTGTGTGTGTGTGTGTGTGTGTATACATATAATACATACATATATTCCTACAGTTTGGGAAACCAACATTGACATCGCAGAATAAATTTCCTCACGTAAACACAACCTGGAATTGGCTTGACTGTCCTGTAGTGAATAATTACGGTGTTATGAAAGTGTCTAAAAGGCAAGAAATACAAAACAAAATTTGATGGCAGTACAGAGGGGTAAGTGGTAGTGGAAGGAATTTCAGTCAGATAATACATTATTTCTTAAGTAACTACTATGTGCCTTATCTTGTGCTAAGTACTAGGAGTACAAAGAAAGGAAAAATACAGTCCTTATTCTCAAGAAGTTCAGTCTGATGGAGTAGAAAACATACAAAAGCTATGTATAAATAGGATATATTTGGGGTAAATTTAATAAATTGGAGATAATCTCAAAGGGAAGGCCCTAAGATTAAGGTGGGCTTCTTTTAGGAGGTATAATTTTAGCTGAGACTTGAAGAAAGTGAGGGAAGCTAGGAGGCAAAGAGGAGAGATTTCCAGTTATGACAAGATCTTCTTATTTCTCTCTTAAAGAAAAAAAAAACATGATAACATAATTCACTCCAACTCAAAATCACTTCTGATAGCCACCATTTTGAAGTGGTAATAATTCCCATTCTATACCTCTTCAAAAAAGAGCTGTAAATATTTTGTACCTGCTTAGAGTTCATTTTGCTGAGGACTAATCTCTTCCTTTAATCTATCTCATTAATTCCCCCTCCTCTCTTGTTCCTTTCCTCTGCTGTTTCTTCATTGAGTGAAGAGTGTTTCTGTACCCA